CTGCCCAATCTGTGGGCTGCAATGTTGATGGCCGTCACCCTCATGACATCATAGAAGACATCAACAGTGGTGCTGTGGAATGCCCAGCTAGCTAAGGAACTACAGATGAAAATATTTCAATAAAGGATCATTTGTTAACCAAAAAAAAAAAAAATGGGCTCAAGGCTGGTGCAGGATAGGGCAAGGGGTCTCCTCTGTGGTTCTTAGGGTCACTATGACTCATACTTGACTGGACTGCACCCAACATTATTTTAAATTTTTACACAATAATAATAAATTGCCGTAATGATACTTTGATAAAAAGATGAATAGATAGCAAATTGGGTTGCTGGAAGCATGATTTTGAGGCAGTCAGGTGGTGCTGTCATCTGTACAGTTTAGGGCTCTTTCTCCTCCCATCAAGGTAATCCCTGTGGGGAACTGGAAACCAGGACGTGTGCATCTTACTTGTCCAGGGTTCATCTGCATAGTCATCACGTTTCTGATTTTTCACGTGAGCTAACAGCCTAATGTCTTGTCACCACTTCCCCCAGTACAAGCTCAGCACTGTCGAGTTGATTTTAACTCCTGGCCACTTTCCTTGACAACCTTACATTTAAAGTGACCCTCTGTCAAATTTCAGAAGTTGCACATCGTTACTGGAGGAGAACACCCATCTTCCTCTCATGAAATGGCTGGTGGATTTGAACTGCCCACCTTTTGGTTAGCAGCCCTATATATAATAGCACTCTATGCCACCAGAGCTCATTCATCATATTTGCTTTTGCATTTTCATATTCGTTCTCTTTTTCTAGATTTTATTTATCTTGTTGGAAATAGACACAGCTAAATATATACCAATTCAATCGTGGTTTTGCATAGAATTTAGTGACACTGATTACGTTCTTTGGGCCACCATCCTCATCCCCTTTTTCTGAGTTGTTCTTCCCTCATTAATGTGAACTCACTGCCCCCTAATGTTCACATCTAATATTTCAAGTTGCTGTTGTCCATTGGATCTGTATGTTGTCATTGCTGCCTTTAGCTGATTGTTGAGCCAAGTGCGACTCATAGCCACCCCATGAACAGCCCTTTCCTGTCCTGTGCCATCCTCACAATCTCCAGCACCCTCAAGCCCATTGCTGCGGTTACTGTGTCAGTCCATCTGGTTGAGGGTCTCCTTCACCGACCCTCTGCTTTTCTAAACATGATGTCCCTCTCCAAGGTAGAACCTCTTTAACCACATGCCCAAAGTATGAGAGATGAAGCGTCATCTTCTTTGCCTCCAAGGAGCACTCTGGTTTCGCCTTCTCCAAGACATGCCTGTCTGTTTGGCAGTTCGCAGGACCGTCCTCTTCTCCAGCATCAGTTCTTCTTCTGTCAACCTTATGCATTGTCTACTCTCAGAGTCATAGCAAGTGC